GCAAGACTCTTATCAGTCAAGCGATCACAGTTGATTGTGGTGAGTATCTATCTCCATGTATCCTTTACTTTTATGTTGTTTGAAGATCGATTAGAGCTATTCAGGTTGGATTTGAAGCTGTGCGACTTTGACAGAAGAACCGAAGCTTTCATGACCTCAAGATTCTTTATCGGGACTCAAACTAGGGGTGCATCTCCTACAGATTGGCAAAATGATACTTCACTAAAATTTACGATAGCTTGTCGAGAAAATAGGGATCATGGCTTGCCACAAGAGAGGACCACTATCAATTACCACCCTTGGATCCTATTGGTAACCCAAGCGCATATGGATATCTTCCGAGTGCTTTGGAAGATGATCAAAAGAGACCAAGGAGAAGAGTTTCATGCTGGCTATTTTTCACCGACCATTATTCAGCTACCATTCATCGGTTTGGTGCACTACTTTGGCTAGGCTAGTTTCAACATGAGACAAAAGGGAGATGTTGGGAAGGTGACCACAAGTGACATGATCTTGTATCATGCTTTGCTGCACAAATGGTTGCTTCACCCGACATGATTGGTGGTAGATAACCTATTGAGGTACACATCCATCCCTTCTTCGCGAGGACTACTAGGAGGGGGCTATATCTAAACCATAGCCCAATACATTGATAGGCATAGGGAGGTGTACATATTTTCTCTCTGGTATATTGGCTTGGGAAGGAACTATCTATCGTCAGCCAATTTTCACCTTTGGAGTTTATAGGGTGACAAGCAAGGGAGTGGACCTCGACAACAACATTTGCCCACGATACTCTACATGGACTTCGGCAGGGAAATCAATGGTGTATTTAGTGAGACTACCTAGCATGGATTTGGAGCTGGACACCTACCACCTCAGCATGAAGACTATGGAGTCCAGCTAGCACAGTTGAGAGTAGTCGCGGAAAGGTTGGAGGAGAACTTGAAAAACTACCAGACTCTAAATGAGCTCCTATCATTTTGAGATTCTGATGCATAGTTAGTAGTCGATGTTTAGATTAAGTGGTATGATATTTTTGCATGTTGATGTGGTTAAGATTCTCTCATGTTATTTTTTACCTTGTAAGTTGCTTAAGATCTACTAGCTAAGATCAAGGTTGAGTGATGGTTCTTCGAATTCATTGAGTTGTATGGGTATGAGTAGTGTTTGTTTGGAGACAAGAAAATTTTAAGTGTGGGGTGTTTTATATGACAATTTATTTATAATTCTCGTCACTCCCATTCTTGATACATTTTCCCCTTCTATCAAAGTTTCTTTAGTCTGTTCTTTTGTATTTCGTATGTATATAACTACTTTTTGATCAATGAGCCTTTAATAGACATAGGTTATGTTTTTTTAACTATGTGATGCCTTCTTGGTATTTTTATGGTTTTGAAGGTATAAAGCAGGCTAAGGATATTTGGATCAAGCGTTGGAGAACTCTAAAGGACCAAAGGATCTATAAAGAGAATAATATGGAGCTTTCATGATAAAGACAAGGTCTATTACGGAGAAGTATACCAGAAGTCCCTATGTGAGTTCAAGACAAGCCCAATAAAGGAATAAGCGGCGCAAGGTGAAGAAGAAACAAACGATGGCCCAGAATCGGGTCCAACTGCCACTGGAGGAGACCTGGTCAAGACGCAACCAATTGAAGAAAATAGGTTGATGTAGTATCAAGTGGTAAATATCCTTGGGGATCCTAGGTTCGTGTTCTACAGGTTCTTTTAATAGTAACTACCCAAACCTAACCTAATGAATTCGAGTATGCGATGCAAGAAAGTATAACTTGTTGGGTTGAGGTGCCCTCTACTCGAAATCTACTTCTACTAAAGCATACAAAGGAAACAAACAGGACAAGCAAACAAAGAAATGTTTAGGTTGTGTTTTCTAGATGATAATGCATATTAACTCCTCAATGAGATGCTTACATGCATCATCCATTATGATGCTCTATCCCTTCTTCTATGGCCACTCTCTACATGTCCATGTGCCTCTTGCGATAGAGATTTGACTAGCTAATGCATGTTTTCGCTTCATGACATCACCTAATCAATGAAGAACAAGGAAGTTAGGATAGCACATGATCAATTGTGGGATTCTACGAACCATAATCGATTGTCTATAGCACTGATGATCTATGAATCAAGCATCATCTTAGTCATGCATAGAAGGGTAGCTAATCCTCATATACACTGTTAAGAAGGAGGCCTACTACACAAGCTTAGTTTCCTTATCTCTCGTGATAGTAGTATAAACAATTACTATAGTAGCATTCACAATAGACTCATGCACATAGAATAGTTAAAACATAATATGAGATAAAAGCATCGATGATCATGCACAAAAGATGATTAAAGCATTGCGAATACAATATATATAGCATCTAAAGGCATAGACATCGATGATCATAACATAAAATGAGATAAGCATCTTATTAACTCATAAAAGTAATTCATTAACATAATATAATTCACATCCATTAACAGATCAACTAGATACACAAAGAAGAGTGGAACAACGTCACCATAGATACAAGAATCGATGGAGAATGCTTCTCCTCCGAATCTCACCATCAATTGTCATCTCTCCAGATTGCTACTAGAGCCCCTAGGGCGGAGTTTTAGTAAGGGTGTATATCGTGTCTAAATCTCTACCCTAGGCTTCTATTTATAATAGTTACATACGAGGGTTTTTTTACTCTTTTTCCTCCTAAAGTTGGGGGAAAAACCTTCCTTGTACGACTTGAACTAAAGGTTCATTTGACTTGGGGACAAAGTAGCTTATTTAGGAAGTTTCTTTGAGGGTTTAGGATGAGCGGTGGTGGGTAGTGATGCTAGGATGCCTCTAATTTTCCTCTCTCAATGGGTTTCATAGCCCACAAGCAATCTCCCCTCCAAATTTGGGAGGGTCACTTGTATAGCTCTCGTTGGACCTCGGTCAAACTTGGGCCAACTGCCCTACTATATATGCTTGATTAGGTTGTAAAGTGAACATCTGATGTCCAAATCCATCTCTATTTGAGCCCAAGAGCTTGTATTCTCATCCTTCTTCTTATCCATTAGGTCCCTTAATGATCCATATTCGTCTTGAATGGTTTATAACAATGAAAAGAACAAAAAACACCATAGAGGCATCAAATCGTACAGAAATACACTCAATCTCAATGTCTATCATAAGCTCATAAATTGAAGTTATAAATTTGACACGCTACGACACAACACCAAACTGCGACCAAGTGTAATCGCAGTCCGGGAATGCAGTAAAGTGGCAAGTTCTAATTATCAACCCGGGGTCTAGATCTATTGCCTACTCCGTGAATATCTATTATCTAGCCAACTAAGTCGATTGTGGTTTTAACTAAAAGCAGTAAGAAAGCAGGAATTGATTCGGTTTTCTGAAGCAAAGGAAGAGTCACTCGGGAATGAGTCCCCCTAGCTGCCTAGTTAGGTCTTGGTTGTAATTACCCTGGGTTGATTTACTGTTGATTAAACTGCGGAAGATCCGATAGTAGCTTGGAATATCTTAAGCTGACCAAGCCCTCTCAGTCCAACCACCCGGCAGACCACTAGTCTTCACCAGGATAGAAGTTGAGGCAATGAGCACAGAACTCCACTACTGGAATTGGGTTCCAGTTCAAAGCAGTAGATTGATTAACTCTGTTATAAATAATCTACTACTACCGAACGATGAAGCTCTAACAACCTAATCAGATTCTATCTATCTCAGGTTGCAGCAGATTTCAAGAAAAGCTGATCAGACTTCAATTGATTCAATGAATCATGCATCGTTCGATTAAAACCAAACAGTATAACAATCCCAAGTCATTACAATCAAGATCCCTAACACATGGAACTAGGGTTCTTCATACCCAGGTGGGAGAAAGTTCTACTCCATAGAGAGAGAGAGGGGAAAACAGAATACAAAGCAGTCATACTCATCAAGATGGGAAGAATCTGCTATGGGATATCAATCTTCACTCCAAGGATGATTTCCAAGCTTGATTGATGAAACCCAGCTCCAAAACCACTCTTAGGAGGTGTTCTTCGCACTTTCTCTCTCCAGGGCTCTGTTTTTGCTCCAAAAGTCGATCCCCTCTCTTTTGGATCGAATTTGGGTTAAAACTCGGAAAATCCCGACCACACGGGCAGGCCACACGGGCGTGTTGCTTTCCTAGCTGCCCGTGTGAGTGTCAAAACGCCGAGTTTCGATTAAGTGATTTCCAGCCATCCTACACGGCCACAACCACACGGCCGTGTGGATTTCTGGGATGCCCGTGTGAGTTCCCTGGAATTTCCACACGGCCACATGGGTTCCCCTACACGGCCGTGTGGGTTTTAGGCATGCCCGTGTGACTTCTCAGCTTCTCGCCAAACGTCCAAACTTCGTCCAATCGACCCCGAACTCGTTCCCAAACCTTCATTCACGTACTAGGACCTAAAATATTACAAACAAGCACAACCTAGCGTGAAATTGGCCTAAAACACGAGAATCAACATCTCAAACGGCTCAAGAATAGGGGTAAAAACATGTGCAATTAACAGTCTATCAAACTCCCCCACACTTAACCGTTTGTTTGTCCCCAAAAAAACCTGACTCAAACCAATGCAACTCTCCAGACCTTTATAGCAACATGCAACCCCGATCGTCGGCAGAGGATTTTCTAGCTCATTTAGCAACTTACGAGGTCAACTGGTCTTCTAAGACGCCTCCTATCTCTCTCAATGCGAGTACTAGACTCAAGCCAGGATCATGAGAACCAGTGGAACTAAGACATTCAATTCATGGATAAGGAGACTCACACAATTCAACAACCAAGGACTCATTGTATCGGGTGCTCTTTCATTTCATTTCACTTGTTGGAACCCCTTCTTCTTACTATTTGTTTTTTTTTCTTTTTTTTTTTCTTTGTTGAGGTTCCAACTGCAGTTTGTATATGCGGTCTGCCCTTATTGGGTGAGCAAGAGCAATTTCTGTACATCTATCACTTGCCAGAGTACTTCTTTTAACTCTTATTCCTCACTTCGTGTGGAGGGTCAATGAAATTAAGGGGGGTCGGAAGCTCTATCCGTGCCCTTAAAAACACATCCTCAAGTAGGCAAACCGTTCAACGGGTGGAAATTTTACTTGTACTAGAGACAACTTAGCTTCACCTTGTAGACCTACCCCACCAAGGATCACTAAAATCTCTTCCAAAACCCGATTTTGTGCAATGAACGGTGCCACACACGTTGGGCTTACCCCATGTCTTACAATTTCAAATTTTTGACATGGAGGACCAACAGCTTTTTCATTTCACACTTGAGCACCCTTTTCGATACACGAGCACACAACACAGCATAAGAGGAGTCATCAATACCACATGAATCAACGCTCCTAAATCCACTAGTTCACAAAATCAACCGGCACAGCAGAGAGTTAGATAGGAAAAATCGTATACTTCAACATCCTCCATAGTGCTACAACTACCTCCCTAGGTTGCATATCACCATAAAGACTGTCAATTCAAAGCATACTGAGCAGGATTTTGCAGGGAACAGTACTTGGAGCCCTCAATTCATCAAATTGGACAGTGGACTAGGCTCCAAGCACACAAACTCATCTAGCAGTCAACAACAGATAAACCCCCCCCCCCCCCACACTTAAGCACGACATTGCCCTCAATGGAGCAGAGGGAAAGACAAGGGGAAACGATGTTACCGTGAATATGGACTATCGGAGGACTGGAAATGGACCAGTCAGCAGTGCTAGAGTCATCAAAACACACTAGGTGATAAAAACCATAGTTCCAAGTGGACAAACCGAAAAACAAACGAAAGAAAAACAAACCTTGGTGGGGTTGCCTCCCCACAAGCGCTTCTTTACCGTCATGAGCCGGACGGTGGCTCCTAAGTTTTGGTCCATGCTAGAACCTCCTTGAAGTTGAGTTTCTCGTTAATGATGTGGAGTCTCAAGTCACAAGCAGGTGGTATGACAAGTGATGTAGACTCGTATACTTGATTAATATGAAGTCTCCACCCGCGAGTCCTCTTCTTTTCTTCCTCACTCGTCTCATTGCCCCAAACCAGATATGAAAACATCGACTGACCACCATCGCGTCCACCAAGAGGGACCGATGTCGATGTGGCCTTGGTCTGGCAAAGACACACTGCAAATGGGTCCTTGCCAAGCAGCTCCTTGAAGTTTGGTGGAGATATCACATGAAACTCATGGCCGGTGCAAGCCTCTTCCACCTCAACTTCATCCTCAGCCTGGACACCACTCGCTTCTTCAACCCCCCTTCCTTCCTCAGAATTTGATTCCTCCCCTGGGAAAAGATCAAGGACTTCCTCTAATTCACTTCCGTCATCCTCCACAGCTTCTTTCCTCATCCTTTCTTGCTCTTCTTCTTCTAGCACGGATTGGAGAGCAAGTCGCCATGCAATCTTTTCAATAAGATCAGCCTGCATCTCCTCACTCATGCCCGCCTCTTCAGCGCTCGGTGTAGGGTGCAGAAAGGGATGGGCTGCTACAACAGGACATTTCTGATCATGATCATCACGGGAGCTCTTCGTGACAACTTCTGTATGCTCCACGACATCCTCATGATTGACTTCTTCCTCCTTCTCTGCTTGTATTGTAGCATAAAGGTTGTCTTGAGAAAACTGTGCACAAGCTTTCTCAATGACCTCTATGTGCTTCTTTATGCTTTGAAGGGTCTCCTCTGTTTCACGGGGAAAGGAGAAGTCAGTTTGGGCCATGGCTTGGATATGAGGATCCATCTCGGGAAAGGATCTCTCAGGTACTTGAGCAATATGCTCCACGAGAAGCCTCAAGTGATAGTTTGGATCTGGCTGTGGAGTGTAACATGGCTCTGCTGGATGGCCCGTGAGGGCTATGGCTAAATCCAGATCTGATGGTCCTTCTGGTTGTGAGAGGAATTCTTCTTGATAAGGAGATTGTTCTTCGTAGTAGGGGGGTTGGTACTGAAACCCGACTCCATAGTCTCCTCCTCCTTGAGTGCTCCAGGTGGTCTCGGGGTAAAACCACTCCGGTGGTGGTGGATACCCCCAATGGTTGGAGAAGCCTTGAGAATCCATGTATCAGATCTGCACCAACAAAAACAAAATACCCAAGTGAAAAGCAAGGGTGGAAAAGAGAGGATGCATAAAAGTAAATGCTAAAGTAATAAACTTTTACGTTTCCACAATAACCTAGAGGTCCCCGGCAACGGCGCCAAAAACTTGACATGCTACAACGCAACACCAAACTGCAACCAAGTGTAATCACAGACCGGGAATGCAGTAAAGTGGCAAGTTCTAATTATCAACCCGGGGTCTAGATCTGCTGCCTACTCCGTGAATATCTATTATCTAGCCAACAAAGTCGATTGATTGTGGTTTTAACTAAAAGCAGTAAGAAAGCAGGAATTGATTCGGTTTTCTAAAGCAAAGGAAGAGTCACTCGGGAATGAGTCCCCCTAGCTCCCTAGTTAGGTCTCAATTGTAATTACCCTGGGTTGATTTACTGTTGATTAAACTGGTGAAGATCCGACAGTAGCTTGGAATCTCTTAAGCTGACCAAGCCCTCTCAGTCCAACCACCCGGCAGACGACTAGTCTTCACCAGGATAGAAGTTGAGGCAATGAGCACAGAACTCCACTACTGGAATTGGGTTCCAGTTCAAAGCAGTAGATTGATTAACTCTGTTATAAATAATCTACTACTACCGAACGATGAAGCTCTAACAACCTAATCAGATTCTATCTATCTCAGGTTGCAGCAGAAATCAAGAAAAGCTGATCAGACTTCAATTGATTCAATGAATCATGCATCGTTCGATTAAAACCAAACAATATAGCAATCCCAAGTCATTACAATCAAGATCCCTAACACATGGAACTAGGGTTCTTCATACCCAGGTGGGAGAAAGTTCTACTCCATAGAGAGAGAGGGGAAAACAGAAAACAAAGCAGTCATACTCATCAAGATGGGAAGAATCTGCTTTAGGATATCAATCTTCACTCCAAGGATGATTTCCAAGCTTGATTGATGAAACCCAGCTCCAAAACCACTCTTAGGAGGTGTTCTTCGCACTTTCTCTCTCTAGGGCTCTGTTTTTGCTCCAAAAAGTCGATCCCCTATCTTTTGGCTCGAATTTGGGTTAAAACCCAGAAAATCCCTACCACACAGGCAGGCTACACGGTCGTGTGGCTTTCCCAACTGCACGTGTGAGTGTCAAAACGCCGAGTTTCGATTAAGTGATTTCCAGCCATCCTACACGGCCACAACCACACGGCCGTGTGGATTTCCAGGATGCTCGTGTGAGTTCCCTGGAATTTCCACACGGCCACATGGGTTCCCCTACACGGCCATGTGGGTTTTAGGCATGCCCGTGTGACTTCTCAGCTTCTCGCCAAACGTCCAAACTTCGTCCAATCGACCCCGAACTCGTTCCCAAACCTTCATTCATGTACTAGGACCTAAATTATCACAAACAAGCACAACCTAGCGTGAAATCGGCCTAAAACATGAGAATCAACATCTCAAACGGCTCAAGAATATGGGTAAAAACATATGCAATTAACGGTCTATCAAAATTCCATAAGAAATGTAGTCAAAAAACAATAAAGATGTATTGATAGAAGGGGAAAATGTATCATGAATGGGAGTGATAAACATTACAAATAAAGTGACATCAGAATCACCTAACACTTGAACTTGCCTCGTCTCCAAGCAAACACTACTCACAATAATACTAGAAACCATCACTCAATCTCGATCTTAGGTGGTTGATCATACATAACTTACAAGGTCATCAATAGCACGAGAGAATACTATCCACATCAACATGCAACAACATCATGCAATGCAATCTAAGCAAAAATAACTAATCATGCATTTGGACTCTCAGAGGACAAGGGTGAAAATTTTGATAAACTTTTTTTTGAACTTTGGATGCTTCTACCATCAAATTGACATACATTTTAAGCACTTTTGCGTTATTCAAACACAAACTTTTTTTTTATCATTTTCAAATTTTCTTCTCTTGCAAACTACTATTTTTTTATTTGTATATATTTTTCATTAGTGGAGAACGCTTTTTAGCTTTACCCTTATTGGTTAAGAAAGAGCTTAAGAGATCCTTTACCTCAACTCCTGGGGAGGATCTAGGGGTGGCTGGCTGATTTTCGGTTAGCAGCTAAGCGACGGTTTTAACTGATAATCATCAGTTAGTTAGCGAAAAGGGAAAGGGGTTGTTCGGGGCTAACGAAAGCTAACCGACCTCTGCCCAATTGTGCCCAAAACGACACCGTTTCCATGAATTCTCCCCCCCCCCCCCCCCCCAAAAAATGACACCTAACCATTGAAACCCTAATCATCACTCTTGCTACCTCGCCCGCCATATCCCCTCCCTGACCCGGCGACCCTGGCCCTCCGCTCGCCCCCTTCCTCTTCTTCCCCAATTGCCTCGAAAAAAGACAGAGAGGCAGAGATAGAAGGGAGGCAGGCCCTCGCCAATCCTCTCCTCCGCTCACTCCTGCGATCTCTGCCCTCGGCTCCGCCTGTCTGCCGCTCGCCCCTTCCTTTTCTTTTCCTTGTTAGCTGCCGCATCGACCAGAGAGGCAAGCAGGGACAGAACAGAGGCTCTCCCCTTCCTCTTTTTTTCCTTGCTGGCCCACCGCTCGCCCCCCTCCTCTCCTCTTTCGGCGACTTTCCACTTCCCAACAGAAAAATGTAAATTCTAAATCTTTTCCTATTTGTGAATGTGATTTCGTGATTGATTTGTGATTGTGAATTTTTGAATGAGTGAAGAGAATTTGTGAATTGAGTGAATTTGTGAATTGGGTAATTTTTAAATTGTGAATGTGAATATGTGAATTGGGTAATTTGTGAAATGTGAATTGTGAACTATGACGTTAATCTCGAAAATATTTCTCTGTTTTCAGGGCGAGACCTCCAACTCCTCGTGGTGGACATGGCGGACGAGGTGCCCTTGCTGATGAGGCTGCTCCTCGTAGTGGGAGGCCTCCTCGAGTTCATGGTGTTGCGAGTGCCACAACCCCTCCCGCTCGAGCTTGGGTAATGGTGGGCGTTTAGGAATTCGGCCTATTGAAGCTGTTAAACCGTCTTCATCAACTCCATAGAGAGTTAAAGGCGGCAGCTTAGACCTAGAGAAATGGTTGCAGGTGGAAGGTAAGGCTGATTGCTGGAAGGATTTTAAGAAGGTCGTGGTTGACGAGTATCTGATGGTAGAGTGCTGACATTGTCATACTCAAATCAAAGCTCATCCATCCAAAAATGGGACTTTTGCAATGAATAACCATTGGCAATCATGTTTGATCAAGAAAATCTTTTATGGAAGTTTGACCAAGAAAAAGCTGGATATGCCTAAGCCATGATGATCATTATGGATGAGTTATCATTTTGATTTGTGGAGAGGGAAGGGTTGAAGCAATTCATGATAGTTGTTTAACCATTGTTTAAGATACCTGGGAGGAAAGCTATAAGAGATGATTGTTATCATATCTTCTTGGAGAAAAAGTGTTGTTGATCGATTTCTTTTGAATCAAAGAGCAAAGGCAGAGTTTTCAATCATCACAGATACATGGACTTGTGATAACAACAAAAATTACATGAGTGTGACTACTCATTTTATTTGAAGTTATTGGAAGTTGCAGAAGAAGGTTTTATCCTATGTTCCCATCACAAGTCATACTGGAAATGATATTGCAGAGAAGCTTGCAGGATTTCTTGAAGAATGGAAGGTGAAAAATCTGTTCTACATGACAATGGACAATGCAACTTCAAATAATGTTCTTAGTGATTGCATGAGAACAAATCTAAAGGAGTGGGGGTGTGATTTGATGGATGGGAAGTATCTACAGTTTTGATGTGTGGCACACATCATTAATATGTTGGTGGGAGATGGAATGAAACTTATTGGAGGTGCTGTGGATAGAGTTTGGGATTTTGTAAAGGGGGTGAAGTCATCACCAGTTAGGTTGACAAGGTTCAAGACTGCCATGCAATTTCTGAATGTGAATTCAACCAAATTGGTGTCTTTAAATTTACCGACCAGGTACTATTCCACCTATATCATGTTAGAGTCAGTATAAAGGTTTCATGTAGGGTTTGCAACTTTGTATTCAAGTCCACAAGATCATTCCTTTAGATATTATGTTGACTCAAGAGGTGGTCTTCCAAATGAACAAGATTGGTAGCTGATCAGGAAGTTGATGAAGTATCTGAAAGTCTTCAATGACTTGACCCTCCTAGTGTCAGGTATGTGGAATTTGAATTGCATGTTTTATTTAAACCATTTTGGCCATCTTGTTTGTTTTACTCAAAAATTTTGTGTTCTCTTTTCATTGTACAGGAACTAAATATGTGACTACCCATCTTTTCTTCAAGAAACTTGTTCAAGTCTATGACATCATTGAGGAATTGAAGAAAGACCCGAATGAAGAGATCCAAATAATGGCAGTAAAGGTTGAGGAAAAGGTATAGAAGTATTGGCTTAAGAGTCCTGTTTTGGGTGAGGAGAAAATGAAGGTGAATCACTTAATTTATATAGCATGTGTGCTTGATCCTAGAAGTAAACTTGATATGATGTTTGAGGTTTTGGAAATTATTTATGGGAGATTTAAGGGAGGACAAATTGTGAGGTCCATTACATCTGAGATGCACCTGATGTTTGAGGTTTACAAAGGGAAGTATGGATCAAAAGCACCCTCCTCTGCATCTGAGCCTACCACTAATGAGAGCATTGTTTGTGGTAGTTCTGCTGAAGCTGAAGGTGATAGGATTAAGAAGATTGAGGAGAGGCTCAGGAAGAGGAAAAAGCAAGCACTTCTTCAGGAAACAAGAGGTAGGAGGTAGCTCTGTTGAGCTTGACATTTATTTGAAATGTCAAACTGATGGAATCAATAAGGTGAATGATGATGCCAAGTTTGACATCTTGGGTTGGAGGTCTCGACACTCTGGAATATATATACCTGATACTTGCGGAGAAGGCTAAGGATATCCTAGTTGTTCCCATCTTTTCTATTTCCTCAGAGGCAACATTCAGCTGTGGCGACCGAATTCTCAGTCCATTCAGGTCCTCTTTGAGCGATACAATGGTAGAGCCATTGATTTGTGCTGGGGATTTGATAAAATATCCAACTTCCGGATCCGAAGAGATTGATGATAAGGAATATGATGAAGATAATTCGGATTTGGAAAGTGGTGAGTTCTAAAACTCTCTTTACTATTGTTGTTTAGGTTTTCACTATTCATTTTCATCTAATTCAATGTATGAATATCCTAACAATTTGTTTTCTTTTCCTTACTCAGTTAATGCCACTTTCCAGTCTATAATGGAAAGTGCGAGTGATACTGGCAATGTTGCCATTGTAGATGCAAGTCTCAACATTCCAATGGAGGATGATCAGGAGGATGAAGAAGAAGTGCCTGAGGAAGAGTATGAGCAAGATGGATATGGACAATCATGATCATGACTTGTTGGGCAAATTGAAAGAAAACTGTTTTGCAGATGTTGGTTCTTCTCATGGTGTTGATGAGTGTAAATGATGATGATTTGTTGTTGACTTGTTGATGCTACTTGGATATATTGCGATTTTTGAATTGTGGAGTTTATGACTTTATGTGGTTGAATTTGAGACATTAATTTGGTGATTTAGATGTAATTTGGATGCAAAAGGGATTGAGACTTTACTTTGGGTGATTTAGATGTAGAAATGTAGGTTTTAACCTTTAATTTTAGGCAATTTTACTAATTTTTTATGCATGTGGGGCTGTTGTCGAGTCGGTTACCGGTCAAAATGACCCTTCCATCAAAGTTTTGGTTGCACGGCTAACCAAGACAAAACTAGAAACTGACCGTTCGGTTAACCATGCTTCTTTATCGGTCAGTTGTTGAATGCCTTCTGGTGGTGCTTCGGCTAACCGATAACGAGTTTTTGGTTTTCTGTTGAACCGAAACCGACTGTACTCAACCCCTAAGAAGATAAATGAATTAAGGGTTGTCATAAGCTTTATCCGTGCCCTTAAGAATACATCCCTAAGTTGGCTATTAATTCAACGGTTGAAAATTTTACTTGTACTAGAGAGGAACTAGCATCACCTTGTAGGACTTTCCCACTAAAACTCAACTAGTATCTATTCCCAAACTCGATTTTGTGCAATGAAAAGATGCCTCACATTTTGGGCTTGCCCCACACTTTATTTCTCAACACATAGCATGCAAAATTTTGTAAGATACCAACATGTCTTGTTAGCTAGATTTTGCATTTAATAAAAGATACAGTTCACCCTTTGAAAAACTTTAAAAAGGGAGACTCCTTTGCATAATAAGATGTTTAAGAATGAATAAAAAAACATAGCATTCAAACACATCAAATGGTGATTATATCTCATTAACTTTCACATCATTCATAGTCACTACACTATCCTCCCTAGATTAAGTGAAATTCCCTAGACTCATTGATTCAAAGTAAGATGAGCAATGAAAACAAAGTCATTAGATGGAAAACATCTTTAGTATTTTCAGAAAAAATTCAAATGGATCATAAAAATAGTACATTTCTCAATTGAATGACAAAAGATATATCATGTATCAATCATAATCAAGTAACATGTAACACCCCGTTCAACCCCACAATTTAAAATTGACATTTTCCTTAATGTACTAAAAGATTTTGAGCTATGGAAAAGTTTGAAACAAGTTACTCAACGTGTCATTCAAATTTCGAAATAGAAGGCTTAGGAAACTAGCACTCATCTTATTTAGGGAGATTTTGAATCAAACAAAACAAACAAAGGAGAGAACAAGTGCTTCAACTCCAAAATACAAGCAAAACAAAGGGATAGATGTTACTCCCAATAGAAGAACATACCCTCATTGAATGGCCAATCAAGTTATGACGTCCATTCATCATCCCATCCAGTTGCATTCATCGTTGGTGGCTCCATGGGTTGTGGATTGAATCCACTTTGGCATATGAACTCTTGAAACTCCTCTGATTCTTCGTACTCCAACTCATTGATCTTCTCTAGCAACGTCTTTGACCTTTTACACGATATCATGAGTTCAATTTATGCTAGCTTCAAATTCGGAGTTGTTGGAGCTTCTTTCAACTTGCCTTCCCAAACTAGATCTTGACAATACTGATGGTATGTTGCATGTAAAGAATCCTCATCTAGAGATCATGTTCTTGTCTTGATCTCTATCTCCAGCTCTGCCTCTTCATTCTCCTCGAAATCATCATCATTAATGGGCTTCTTGGTTCATTTATCTTCAATAGACCCCACTACTCGATGCAGGATCGCTCCCACTTTTAGTGTAAGTTCTCCTTTTGTTGCATTTATCATGGCACCAGAAGTGGCCAGAAATGGTCCATCAATGATTAAGGAGTATGTGGTTTCTATCTTTATCTTGATCACCACATAGTTTAGAAAGAAGATGAATGTTCCTATTTGGGTGTTTAGTCATTGAACTACTCCAAGAGATTTACATGGAGTGTTGTCTACCAACTTGATCTCCATTTATATCTCCTCCATGTCAGCTAGACCATATCATTCTAGAGGGGCAGTGGTAGGATGTTGATACTAGAACCAACATCCACCCGTCCTTGCTCTAGATAATGGTCATCTAGGAGACAATTGATCGTGAAATGACCAGGATCCTCCTTCTTTTCGTATACTCGAATGAGTTCTTTATGTCCATAAGGAGTTGAGTTGATGTTGGTCTTCTCAATCCTATCCTTCTTCAGAAGTTGCAAGAGCTTCTCTCTTAGGCTCTTCGTATCAATAATGCTCTCCAAAAGTAGCATGAGACTATCTTCTCCTCCTAAGGAAACTATCAATCTTTTCACATTTAAGATACATTTAGAGGCTTCTTCATGGATGGTCATCTCCTTCGTCAAGGTTATGTCATCGTCTTTTTCCTCCTTATTGGCTTTAGATGTCTCCATTGTATGGGTTAAGTAAGACCCAATGTCCTCTTCCATGTCTCCTTCTCACCTTCAATGGCTACCTCCCTCTTGCTTATTTGCTTTGATATTCCTTCCTTCTCCTCCACCATCTCAGAAGGATGGGCCTTCACAACTCCTCCTTGCTTGAAAATCTCCTTGAAATAGATCTCCCACGAGTTGATCACCTTTTTTGGCTCTAGATGCTTTGATCTCCATGACCTGATGTTAGGAAAAGGAAGAAGGGGTGTCATCTCTTTTATAGGCAAGCGATGGATTGGCGCTAGGTGGTATCGGTACTCATTTCCTTCTCAAATGCTTACTCTTTTGAGTCCCTATACGTGTAGGACAAATAAAATATGCGGCGGCAGCGGTGGCATAGCGGCGGGTTGGACTGCCATTGTTTTTATTGTGGGAACTGTCATACTTGAATCCTCTTTCGTGTAGGAGAAGGAAATTTTACATTAGGTACACTTTTTCCTAGCGGAGGATCAATGACAGTTAGGGTTTCCTCTTCTTTTCCTTCTCCATTTCTGATGTGTTATCCTTATTCTTGAAGGATTCGCCAATTTAAGTATCTTAGATCTACTTGCTCCTCTTATCCCTTTATATTTCCTAAGGATTTCAAAATAAAAACATGAAAATAACTAGGATCCTCCATCTTGGAAATCCTTGTTGGAACATGTTCTTTCAAACTCTTCATGGCAAACTTCAATGAGTTTCTTGACATTAATTTTTTCCATAGGTTTCTCCCACTTGGACTTCTCTTCGGGTTGTGAGAGATCCAAATTCGAGCATCCAAATTCAAGATGGTAGGCTCATCTTTCAAGGTCCCCAACTTAAGGCTTCCTCAAAGGCCATTGTTTTGATTGTAGTATCCAAGCATACCATCTTTCTTCATCTTTTGGCTTGATGATGGATCATGAAGAAGTAGCCACCTTAGTCTCCACTTTGCACTTGTTACCCCACACTTAGAATTTTAAGTTGTAGGCATGTGGTAGAGGTAACGATACAAAGAGGGACTTATGTACTCCCCTCGTCGGGTTAGATATGACATTATGGTCTCATGGCTATTCAAAAATGCTACAAATGGATCTCTATCAGTAATCTATTGAGATATGGTTTGACTCCTTGATGCATCTCCACCAAGATTTTGAAATTTTCTTCATGGTCTCCAACTTTAGGAATATCATCCTCCATCTTTTCACCAACATAGCCTTGGTAAATGGTGAACTCTTCATGCTCTACCTGATAAGGCCCAAGTCGTGTCTCAATAGGTTTTCAAAGTTGCACAGACCCTCAATTGATCAAGGATCAAACCAAACACAAAACAGAGATCACGGACAAGCTCGGTTAAGCTTGTTGAACTCGAATTTGATGGAACAAATGGGAACCCTTACACCTGGAAGGATGCACACTTGTTATGACGAAGATTTCGATGCAATTGAGTGCCTTTCTCGAATGATAAGCTAGGGTTTTCAGCAAGTTTTGATAGAAACCAAAACCAAACAAACTCACAAACTCTCAAGCTTGTGAATTGGGTTAAAATTTACTCAATTGTATTCTGCCTCAACCAATACATGAATCAAGCCTTTTATAGGCACTTAATAATCATTAACCTACGTTAAAAAGGATTAAAACTATTCCTATTCAACTAGAAAAGTAACTACTACTAATTCTTGTGGCACAAGGATTACAAGTCTTACATTACAAGGAAATAAGAAGCTGAACATTGCAACTTAGGATGCCTTGTTCATGGGTCAAACGAGCTCCAATTCCTCAGCCAATGCCCTTACGTTGTAGATGGTGATACGTACTTTCATGGGATACTCGTCTTTGGACTTGGTTCTTACCCATCTGTTGGGAATTAAACCCCAAAGTAGCCATCTCGAAAACAGCTCCAGACTTAGCCGTTTTTAGACAGAATTCCAGTTTCTGGCTAGCAACTTGGAAGCTTTGGAAAATCATATTAATGGCTTCTCCTGGCCTATCCAAGCCTTCCATTGTGTTGAGAAACATCTGTATTTCAGTTCCATGCCCTTTCCTTGCATTTCCCTCGAACCATTTGGGACAAACAAGCTTCCAAAGATGGTATCCTGCAACACAAAAAGGACTTAGCCAAAATTCCCTCTTCTTACCCGTGATTGATCCAGCTTTTTGATCGATCCTTTGGGGTTTGGAATTCAAGGTGTTTGGGATCAAATCACTACCCTTACTTCCTCTTGTTCAAAGTTTTGCGCATAACTTTGAGAAGATGATGTAACAGAATCTCAAAGGCTTTCATCCACTTCAAATTTGGTTCTTGCATGCACAGAGCATCATTGCTTATGGTAGGTGTGTGACTTCTTTCAATTACTATAAAAAATCATCGGCAGCGACGGGTAGTGATGTTGGGTCGCCACATATTTTCCTCTTTCAATGGGTTTCTTTGCCCACAAGCAACCTCTCCTTCAAATTTGGGTTCGTCTTGACTTGTATTACTCTGGTTGGACCTCATTCAAAGTTGGGTCTGCTGCACTACCAGATATGGTTGTTTTGGCCATAAATTGAGCACCCGAATAAATATTTGTTTCAATCAATGAGCTGGTATTCTCATCCTTCGTATGATCCATTAGGTTCCTTGGTGATCCATATTCGTATTAAGTGGTTCATAACCTTGAAAATTATAAAACAACACCATAAATGCATCAAATAATACAAAAAACACCCTCAAGGTCTATTATGAGCTCAATAATCAAATAGTTATTAATTCCATATGAAATGTGATCACTACAGATGTATTGATAGAAGGGGAAAATGTATTAAGATTGGGAGTGCTAAACATTATAAATAAAGTGTCATAAGAGATTTTCCATGGTCTAAGGAGCCCAACCCACAAAGAAAAAAGATGTCGGTCCCAACCACTGCCCTAACGCCACTCGTGCCCTAGCTTCTATAAGTCTTCTTCAATAAGTTAAGTAGTCTGCAAGGAATATAAAACGCTTTTCTAGTTGGTTTAGGAAAGTTCTAGCTGAGTTATTCCCCTATACATAGAAGGCATGGGTCAATAGTTCATTAAGCCTGCACAACCATGCTAAAAATTTTGTACTCTTCTCGAGTAACTATTAGCTTTTGTAGGAGAGTCTGCAGCTAAGGAGATGTTTCATGAGCGATGGTGGTACCCTCCTTCTCTTTTATGTAGATAGTTCAAAATTGATTGTATGAGGATGTGAAAGCGTTTATCATTGTATGTATTGATGTTATGATTTCATGTCATGCTTATGTTAATGTTTGTGGATTTCGATGCTCATTTCGTATGCATGTATACTTGGTTTTGGATACTTATATGATGATCATTATTGTTTATTTAGTATGAATGCTTCTTTATCATTGTTGTTTATGATTCTATAGTATGCTACCATATGCATTGTGCTTAGAATCATCTAGGCTGAGAAAACATTAGCCTCTAGTTATACCCCATTGACGTTACAAGAGTATAGAGGGAATGATAACCCATCTATACCTCGAGTAGTATCAATGCTTGATTATTAGATCATCGATGCTATACACCGTCGATTATGGATCGTACAGTCCCACACTTAATAATGTGTTATCCTTATTTCGTTTCTCTTCACTAATTAGTTGATGGCATGAAGCAAAAGCACACATTAGCTAGTTAAATCCATATCGCAAGAGGCATATGCACGGTAGAGAATGGCCTTAGTGGCAGGGATCAAGTGATGCTATAGATGAATCGCTGATGGATGATGTGACTACGTATTTGTATGCATGATGGTATTCGAAGCTTACCTTATTATACAATAATGTATCTTTACTTTTATGCATCTATAAATCGAAAAACACCTAAACAACTTTACTATTCTTGATTGTTAGTTGAATGAAAACCCCTAAATGGTTATATTCTTTTCTTGTGAGTAAATGATGGTTTGGTGTGTGTAGTTATGCATTAGAATATCTTGTGGAATATGACCCTAGGATATTAGGCATTATATTGATCTATACCGCATCAGTTATATACCGTGACATATGGAATTTGTAGGCTGGAGATCACACGTGCATATGGAGCATAGTAAAGGGATTCTCTTTATTGTGGCTACCTATAGCTTCTATTTTAATGTGGTCTCGAGTCAAGGAAAATCTAGGGGGAGCTTGCTGATAACACCTAAATTAGGTGTTATTTGGCCCTCATTCTCGAGGCATCTGAGTGTTAAATCATCGTGTCTATGCCACATATCACGCTAGTTTAAGCATATTTTCATTCCTATTTGCAAAACATCCATTCAGGCATAGGTTAGCTTGATATGAAGGTTTTCATGGAGAAATCGACCTCACTTTGTCGAATTTTATGCCTTTCCAGTGTTCGTAATGAAATTCTAGGGTTTATATTCATCTAGGATCAATTAGGAATTGATTGGAGTTCATGCAGGCACGATTGGAAAGTATAAGAGCAAGAAGGGAAGAAAAAGCACACGTCACGGCCATGTCACCACCTTGACCAGGCCGTGACCATGTTTGCAGTCGTGAATAGTGGCCCAGAACTTCAGCAGGCATCCAACAAGAGGGCCATAAGTTTTGACACTTGAATCGGGACCAATGAGCTTTTCGACCACGAAAAAGATCACGAGCGTTACACAAAATATCGTGACAGTGATCTCACGATGAAGGCCGCAATCTTGGAACTTGAAGACGATGTCAAAATGCAAAGTTTCGGGCAATTCGGTGATGTTTTAGGCTGGTTATGTCCTGGTCATGCTCTCGAGGTCGTGATCAATGTCATGACACTATAAAGATCCATTTTTGCACTTGACAAAGGATAGCAGACTATAAAGATCCAGTTTTAGAGAGGGAAACACCTTGAGAGAGCTTAAGGGAACATCCAATCCATCTAAGGAGCAAGGAGAAGGTGTTATCCAACACGAAGAAGATGATTTTCAACAATTCCCTTCTTCTTATTTTGTATTCTCTCTCTCTCTCTCTCTCTCTCTCTATATATATATATATATATATATATATATATATATATATATATATATATATATATATATATGACTTAAATCACTAAGGTGATAAAAACCTAGTTCTAGGGTTCTATCGATTGGGTTGGTGAGATTGGGAATCGATAGGAATTAGGGATTTAGATAGAATTGGGGAAGAACATAATTGGGGATTATGGAGTTAGAATAGGAAATTGGGGATCGTGGAGAAGAATGGTTGACGGCCTAGGGATA